TTAGTTTTTAATAATTTCATTGACTATAGAGGTGTGCTGATGCGTTTTTTTATTGTTTAAACGGGTGGATGAGCTCACGGCCCACCTGGTGTCAAGTTACCGGAGCCCGTAGACATCTACAACGTAAATGCCGCCATCCACCTACGTATATATTTCATTCGAAGTCAAAGCGAATAAAATGAAATCCTAAAAATTTAAAACACGTATTATTCATTCATTTAGCAAACACTTCGATCGTACGTAATTACAAGCGTGACGAAATAAATTTTACACTATTAGTTAATATAATTTGTATCCCTAATTGAGATTTTCTTAATTGCCGTCATGTTTCTGTTGTATAAATACAAAAATTGAACAAAAAAATTAGAGAAAAAAATCACTTTCAATCCGAAAAATGAAAATATCATAAATGAGTCGTCTATTATCAAAGGTGGCAATCTGTGCATTTGGACAAAAAAAATTTAATGATATGTCAATACAGATTGATTTGAATATAATCGTCTCCTTCAAAGAATACGGTTCAAAACCTGCATTAAATAAAGGTTAATAGTTAACCTGTTATTTATCTAAGATGTCGTTCCGAAGAGTTTTGTGACTGCCAATGGAATACAAAGTCAATAATTCGTTTTTCTGATTTACCAATCATTGTCCAAAAGTCAGATTGCCGGCTTTGATAATAGTCGACTCAAATATAGTCTCGAATTTACTGGTGGTAGGACGTCTTGTGAGTCCGCACGGGTAGGTACCACCACATCGTCTATTTCTACCGTGAAGCAGTAAAGCATTTCGGATTGAAGAGCCGTTGTAACTATACTGAGACCTTAGAACTCATATCTCAAGGTGGGTGGCGCATTTACGTTGTAGATGTCTATGTGCTCCAGTAACTACTTAACATCAGGTGGGCTGTGAGCACGTCCACCCATCTAAGCAATAAAAATAAAATAAAAAAAAACCCTGTGGGCAGAATATTCAAATGACGACGAATAACACCTAAGTCTTCCGTGACCACGAAAACTGTACGAAATATCGGAAATTACACTAATAACAATTCAAAAATCGATATCAAACCGTAAAACTGTTTTAGTTGTGTCGACGAGTCACGTAAATCTAAGAAATGACTACAAATAGGCAGCGTAGCATGACTTGCAAATGCGGTCTAAGCTTTAGATTTAAAGATGTCTTCAATATTAAAAAGTATGCAAAGTTCAATAACCTTCAGCCTACAACATGAAGGGGGTCAGTATATGTATGTCACTATTATCTTAATGATTTATTGATCACGTCGATTTTTAACAATTAACTCAGTTAAAATAATACTAATGACACGTCGGTCGTGTGCGGGACAGACTAGTGCACTGTCACGTGGAGCGCGACTAGTCGCAGGGACACGCGGACTCACAGAGCCTCCGCTACACACACACACATGATGTGTGCACCGGTCGTGTGCGGGACAGACTAGTGCACTGTCACGTGGAGCACGACTAGTCGCAGGGACACGCGGACTCACAGAGCCTCCGCTACACACACACATGATGTGTGCACCGGCCGAGTGCGGGACAGACTAGTGCACTGTCACGTGGAGCGCGACTAGTCGCAAGGACACGGAGTGTTACAGAGCCTCAGTAACAATATAAATGCAATGTGTGCGTGAGGGTAACGATCTCTGAAAGGTTACTGTACTCAGTGCAAATTCTGGGCTAATTGAAACATATCGGTGTTCATAATACAGGTTTTTTTCTGCCTTTTTTTCCTGGTCATTTCGTAAATGTTGCACTCCTTCAACATGCTACAGACATTAAAATATTATTATAATAATATCGAAGCAGCTATGATAATAGAAGTTATGAGTACATTTACATAGTTGTCTGGTAGAGATCGCTTTTAGTGATAAGACCGCATATTGTACAAATGTGTACTTGTTGACTGTTTTTTCTTAATGTTGTGTTTTAGTGTACAATAAATTATATTCTCTCCCTTTCTTTCCCTCTCTCTCTCTCTCTCTCTTAATATGGTTTACATCAAAAACGTTTGTTTCGCAGTGTATTTGATAAATTCAACTAGTGATGTCATTGGCATGACTGCAACTAATCTATTTACTATTTATTACGACGTCGTTAAAGAAAAAATGTATTTTATAGAAACATAAACTATATTTTATCGCTTTGAATACAGCAAGCAATATTGTAATGAATACAAGCTCTGAACAATAATAAGCGTCGGTCTACTGAGCGAAGATCTTTTGTCGTATTCCTCCAAATACTGATTTTCTTTATTAGACCTATTTAGACCATCTTTCCTATTTCGGAAGCGTGCCGGCGGGCATTTCTGTAAATAATACAAAGACGACTTGGATCTGAACTCCCCAGGTGAGTGTATTTAATAACATTGCGGTAATGAGCTCATTTTCCGGTTACCAGTTCACAAGGTTAGGCGAGAGCTAATTCACCCATTAAACAAACAAAAAAAATAACTAAAATACATAAAATAAATACAAAGTCGATGTATATAAGGTTCAGTGTAGACTTCGAAAAGGTTGCAATCTTTCAGGAAGTCTTCAAATTAGCCAAACTGATGAAGTTTAGTAGCGTTCGCATCGAAGTCAAAACAAAGCTACAAAACCCAAGAAAATAATTTCTTATACGTCAATTTGTCATAATATTATTATTTTGTTAAAATAACCTTCGTAATGACGTAGCAGTAAGGAAATAATTTAGAGACAAAACTGTATAGTTTTAATTTTATCATTTCAATATCTTATTTATAATGTAATACTAAATTTTTTACTGGTGGGTGATTTTTACTAGGACCTTTTGTGAGTCCGTACGGTAGGTACCACCACCTTTATTTCTGCCGTGAAGTAGAAATGCGTTTCGGTTTGAAGGGTGGGGCAGCCGTTGTAACTATACTGGGACCTTAGAACTTATATCTCAAGGTGGGTGGCGCATTTACGTTGTAGATGTCTATGGGATCTGGTAGCAACTTAAAACCAGGTGGGTCGTGAGCTCGTCCATCCATTTAAGCAATAAAAAAATATATATGATTTTTTTAGCGTATTCTAAAAGAATGGTAGTCCCACAAATTCAGTGGACCTTTCTTCAAATGATTCCGTGTTAATTTTCTTTGAAAGGCTCATTAATACTTGTAAAGACAAGTAATAGTGAGTTATAGGTAGAGTTCTTTTACCGCAAAGATACTGCGAAATCAGTTTTTAAATTATATATTTATTCGAAATAGATACTTCTTAATCTATCCTAATATATAAATCTACAGTGGTTTTTACGGATGTTCCGTTATAACTACTGAACTGTGCATCCGATTGACTTGAAACTTGGTATCCATGTAGAAAATACATGTACTTAATGGATAGGCTAATATTTATATGAGTGTTGGACTCCCTACACCAGTTGCGGGGGCGTTAATGACGAGAATATTTGTGGGGGTGAGAAATATTAATGTTAATTTTAAAGCGAAGCGGACGGGTACAGCTAGTATATTATATTCCTAGATATATTATTTAAAGGGTTCTTGCCACGATATTCATGTTTGATGAGTTTCCGATATTACGTCGTGTTGTAAGCGCCATTTTTTCTCTACCTATTCGCTGGTAGCCTAAAGGGTTCCAGATGCCCCTGGACAGCTATGTGGGCTCACGGGCTCAACCTGAGAGAATTTGCTAACACTAGCCCTAGCTAGAGCAGTGCTTCGCTGAATCTACCACCGGATCGGAATCGCGACTGAGATGATCCGGCGAGAAACTCGGTGGACTAAAGCACCATGATCTTGGGAACGGGATATGGAAAATTAAATGCGATAGACGTGGTAAGGAACAATAAAAAAACAGTGTATGTAATATAGTTATTGTCACAAAAGCTTAAGCAAGCAATATTTCGTAGGTATTCCTTTTCTATTATTACATGTAAAGTATAGAAATAATAAACACATTCTTTGTTTGTTTAAATATAATACTTTCCAATAATAAAATCTTGTATTAATTTTGTCAATCGTTAATTTTTTTTTGTTTAACGGCATCATTTCCTAAGAAATTTTTAAACTAAATCTTATATAGTTACCATACTCCTCTGAGACAGTTTGACAGATTTTTATGAAATTTTATATGCATGTTTAGTAGGTCTGAGAATCGGCTACTATTCATTTTTCATACCCCTAAGTGATAAGGGTTGTCCACCCCTAACATTTATTTTTTGGACAATTTTTTTTTGTCGTAATGAGGCATTATGTGGTTGAATGGGGTTTTGTTATTTTTATATTCCCTCATCGTTCACAGCGCTACGTGCCTCTTTCACTCATTTACCACATCCTTACACACTTACAATAAGTTAGTTTTTTTTTCTACATTAGAAAATCCAAATCTTATATATGGGAAAACAATGTTTGCCGGGTCAGCTAGTTATAGATAAAAATATTCACAAGTGTGACGTCAATAATGAATTTAAATTTTTCCCTAGAAGAAACTGTTTTAATTTAAGTAAGTTAATAAACTGGATTAATGTATTTTTTTAGCAATGCATTTAGCATTAAATTCATAAGCAAATGCCTACATTAAGCATCCGCATTATAATAAATTGTGTATTTACTATTGGGACAATTAATTGAAAACCATCAACTAAGCTTTGTGAGTAAATTATTTTTAATTTAATTTAAGACATCAATTTGAGACGAAAATTAAATTAAATGCATATGAAACGCAATATATTGTAATAAAACATAAATCGTTTATACATTACATAAGAGTATGAAATTTACGCATTTTAATACATTTTTTTTAATTTTTTTTGTAAGCTTAACGATGCAAATGCTTTTGTTAAATGATTAGGGTAAGTGGTAAATATAAAGTCGTACTTAGGCACTGTATTAACCTAATAATAAACAAAAATAAAAATTGTCTGTTTGGCTGACTGTTTCATCATCTGAAAAACCATTAATTACCAACAACTTTACACAAGAATGTTTAATAATTATGAAAATGCTTAAAGACTCACATTTCGGTTGCCTGGCGACTTGACCCTGTTTCCGCCTCTCGAATAGTCTATTAATAATCGCATCCTTTTTCTCATTAAAATCGATATCCTCAAAATTATTAAGTCCCTCGCACTCCGAAAAATCGCATTCGATATTCGATTTCTCAATCTCTATTCTTTTCAATCGATTATTCGTCAGGTCCTTCATTTCCTTGTCCGCCGAATACCTTCGATTCGTCACTTTGTTCCAAATTTGAACTAAGTCTTTCATGTTGTTTTTTTTTTTAATTCACTTTTATTTTACAAAACACGTCCACTCTCAATCAGAATGTACAAATATATCACGGACGTTTCGAGCAATAAAGTGTATAATAATGACAACAATTCTTTAATACGTTTTTAATGGCCTTCTTTCAAAATATCGTTCCGTGATTTCGGGACCGGCCAAAAAGCAGTTTCAATGTCAGTTGGTCGCTTATAGAGAACAAAAAAAAAATGTTCGTAATTTTTATTTTTAAAAAAAACACGCACACATATACAAACACACTAAACAGAAAATGCACAGATAAAATAATGCAGTCACATTTTTCGCGCGAAAAAGTGCTACTTTTTTTCAGAACGGAACTCGAAAAGCTGTCTTTGACAGGTAAGAATTTCGCTCGTATTTTTTTTTTTTAGTTGACTCTCGTGTTTCTGTTTACGTTGTTTACAATAAATGTGTTGAAGCATTAAATGCCGAGAACATAATGAGATCGGACGGTCAATTTCCGTCTTATATGTATAAATTTGCACAGTCGCGCGCTAAGAATTTGACGTCACAAACGCGTTTAAAAATGTGACGCGCAGACAACGGAGAAATTCCATTTTAACCGTATAGACAAAGATTTATGTTTCAATACATGAATCGTTGTTAATCCACTAAATAGATAAATGTTTTCGCTGGTAGGACGTCTTGTGAGTCCGCACGGGTAGATAACGTCACCCTGCCTATTTCTGCCGTGAAGCCGTAATGCGTTTCAGTTTGAAGGGTGGGGCAGCTGTTGTACTGGTAAAGCTGAGACCTTACAACTTATGTCTCGAAGTGGGTGTCGGCATTTACGTTGTAGATGTCTATGGGTTCCGGTTACCACTTAACACCAGGTGGGCCGTGAGCTTGTCCAACGATATAAGCTATAAAAAAAAAAACATCAAAAGTATCGTATCGCTAAAAAGATCCATCTAAGAAATTTTTAACGTTTGTTATTAGTTCATGCCAAAATGGCGGCAAGGGTTTGAATGACATTTCGACAAAACTTATGTGACCTATTTTTTTTCTCTTTTTTAATAAATAAATAAATATTTACTAACAATCACGCCACGTTAACTGGTCCCGTGATAAGTTCGCAAAGAACTTGTGTTACAGGTACCAGATAACGGATATAAATGTAAGATTTTTATTATACACATACATATATTTAATAGACGTCCATAACCCTGGAAAAGATATTTATATATTTTATCATACAAATATCTTCCCTTGGCGGGATTCGAACCCGCGACCCCCTTGTGTAGTGACCATGTCACTTACCACTACACCAGACGGACGTTAAACCTATATAAGTACGTTTGTTGTGAAATATTTATCTAATTATTGTTAAATTTAATGTAACTATTAGACTAATTATATTCATTATACTAACCATAATGTGCCTTAAATGCATTTTGTGCACTTAACTAGGCTTGCGGAAAAGGGTTTTTTTGGGAAGGAAGTTTTGCTGGTGGTCCGGAAGCCTTCTTAGCTTCACCAGGACACGTGGCGAGCACGGACTCAGCCAGAAAAAGTGGGATTTGGTTCTGCCCGAGCACCTCTGAAGGAGCTCAAGGGCAGCTGCTTCACGAGTACATCCACTACCGGACCGGAATCGCGTTCCGCCGAGAAGATCCGGCGAGAAATTCGGCGGGCTGATGCATGGGTTAAGTCGAACTCTTTAGAGAGTTCCAAGAGTATGGTTACTAGGGTTCCTAAGCCTGCTCCTAGTGTTAGAGCTAAAGGTATCTAATAACAGAGCTAGTGAGTCAGATGGAGAGCAAAGGGTGTATTTCTGTTTCATAATTATAACCGTGAATACAGAAAGAGCGGCTTTCGACGGAGCACGTGCGATTGTGACCGGGCATATCCAGTTTGCTTGCTTAGTGCGAATTTTTTAACGTTCTCGATAGCGTAAAAGTTAACTCAAATTTGGACTCAATATGGAGTTGGAACGTTTGCCTACGTTTGCCGCTAAAAATGAGTTAACTTTTACGCTATCGAGAACGTGAAAGAACTCGCTCTAAGCACACAGTTGCAATTTACAACGTAAAGTTCAAGCGTTGGCACAGTCTTTGTAATATATTTCATTTCAATAAAGCATTAAACATACAGTATATCATTTATTTATTATACTATCTATCGAATAGTACAGTAACAAGGTATGCGGTCTTAAAGCCAACAAGGCGCTCTGTGTAATTGAGATTTGAAATTAGTTTCGCACTCTCATTCAATTATGCTGACGTTTATTTAGTAAATGTAAATTAGTAGATTATTGATGTAAAAAATAATAACTAAAATAATGTATGCAATAATGTATGGAGTTGTTCTACTGGTGGTAGAACCTCTTGTGAGTCCGCACGGGTAGGTACCACCGCCCCGCCTATTTCTGTCGTGAAGCAGTAATGCGTTTCGGTTTGAAGGGTAGGGTAGACGTTGTGACTATACTGAGACCTTAGAACTATATCTCAAGGTGTGTGGCGCATTTACGTTGTAGATGTCTATGGGCTCCAGTAACCACTTAACACCAGGTGGGCTGTGAGCTCGTCCACACATCTAAGAAATAAAAAATAAAAAAAGTTTAAGTGCTTAAACAAAAAACCGAGGTAACAATTGCTTTCATTTTTATCTCCTGTTGATATCGGTCAGGATATTTTATTATTATTACATTTCATGTAAAATTTACATTGGCGGACTTAATGCCTAAGGCATTCTCTACCAGTCAACCAAAGGTAGTGCAGAGTAAATAGTGGTAGGTGCAATGCAATTGATATTAAATTACATAATATACATATGTCGGAGAAACCCTAATTATTAACACCATCATCAGACGTCGTAGGGACGAATAGGGTGATCGAGCTAAGAGAAATATTGAGTACACCAATCACGTTTGTTGTCTTAGAACAATTTAGAAATCTTCTATTGACGTTAACGAAAACGAATGACAGTTGTTAGGACGGAGGCACCGCTCTTCAAGAAGGCTGGTTGGTAATAATATATGAGTGTGAGGTCGTCTACGCGCCTCCATCGGCTAGGCTCTGTCGTAGCACGAAGCTAGCCGATTTCCGACGATACCGCAATCGCTTTTTTTGGAACAAAGTTCCTTGTGGGACGATGCGGAGGGGTACCCTAACCGGGAAAAAACGTCCGTAACGTAAGATTTTATGTTTGTTACCTCATAGCTTTTGACTAGGTGAATCGATTTTAATGATTCTTTTTTTATTAGAAAGCTGGCGCTTTCCATGGTCTATATATTCCATAATGGTATCCATGAGAAAACCATATTATTATAAACCTTAAATGTACATTAAGTACGTGCGCGACAAATAGATAAATAGCTCAATAACTCAATATCACGCCAACCGATTTCGATGATTATTGTTTTTAGTGTATATTGATTTGTTTTGAATTCTTTTTTTATTTTATTTTTATCAATAAAAAATCATAATAAAAAATGTATACCCGAATAATTATTTTCTTTACATCTCGAATAGTGTTGGACGATTAACTTTGAGGGGATTGGGTTCTGTAGGTTGATGAGGGGCTATTTAAAAACACACTGCTTCATTATAATTATATTGCAGATAGTTTGGACACTGTTACACCATTATATAATTATTATCTTTATATTTTTATAAAACTCTTATATGTTTCTTTGACCGTGTCTAGATAAGAAGTTCTGACTTTTTCTTACGAGAAGACAATCATCTGTTTTTTTAAACATTTAAAATAATTCTAATATTCGATATCTGTAGTCATGTGTCAAGTGTTGCCTGCCATTACATTTATATTCAAACTCCAACAAATAGAACTTAAAATTAATATTTTTATTGTAAGGAACTTCGTTCCTATCCGGTGTCTCACGACACCGCACTTTTTGGCAGACGAGCACACGGCCCACCTGATGGTGAGTGGTTACTGTCGCCCATGGACATCAGCAATGCCAGGGGCAGAGCCAAGCCGCTGCCTGTCATCTCTCGGGAATCGTGCTGCGTTTCGTTTAGCTACCAATCTAATGACCGTCTCCAACCTTTTTTTTTTATTGCTTAGATGTGTGGACGAGCTCACAGCCCACCTGGTGTTAAGTGGTTACTGGAGCCCATAGATATCTACAACGTAAATGCGCCACACACCTTGAGATATAAGTTCTAAGGTCTCAGTATAGTTACAACGGCTGCCCCACCCTTAAAACCGAAACGCATTACTACTTCACGGCAGAAACAGGCGGGGTGGTGGTACCTACCCGTGCGGACTCACAAGAGGTCCTACCACCAGTAAAAAATATATATGCATATATACACAAATACATACACCTACATATAATAGTTTATTTATACAATATTCAAAGGAATATATTAATAAATTAACTTAGCAAATAACTTGGTTCCGCTAACTTTTGCAACGTAATAGGATATTAGAGTGAAGTTATAAAATTATTGTAAAGTCGTCGTTTCTTGATGCGTGTACGAACTTTTTAAGTTAATCACGTCATAAAGTCTGCGAAAACGACTCACAATGATTCCGTTACAAAGACATCGGATTTAAATAAATTTAACAAACAAATATAGTACTGTTACGCGCTGGGATACGGGATAAATAAAAATTCTACCGAAGTACAACTTAAAACTGTATTCAACACTTAGAACACTTCACAAACACTTTAAAATTCTCAATTCGCTTCTTCCGCTTCGCTTCGGGTGATCCGTTTGCTGTTTCGCTTCGAGTAGTTCCGATTACTGACTGACTGCGTGCCATCTCTGCAACGCTTTTATAGCCGATACCACATCCCTAGAATTATCGAGAATATTCCACATTTCTGGTATTGTGTTTCCGCTATCTGACAATAGATGGCGTTTTACTTCTCGAGCGTTCTAGGTGCTACTAAATCCCTCGATATTCGTTCGACTATTCGGCGATAGATGGCGTAACAGTACATATTTGTAAAACGTAACATTGGGAGGAATGTATTGTAGGATTGGTAAGAATGGAACGTATGAAAATAGTGTGAAATGGAGCGTAAGATGTGAGTGACAGAGATAGGTAAGAAAGAGAAAAGAGAATGACAGACAGAATGATAGAGAAAAGGAAGATGGCGAAGACGGTTAAAAAATGAGCAAGGGCGTAATAAAAGTGGTTATTAATTAAAAATTATTATTTTATCAGAAATCTAGATGACCCGGCAGACTTCGTAGTGCCTCAATCGATAAATAAAATACCTAAACTTTTGTATAAAATAAATTTAAAACAAACAAAAGGAATCCGTCCAACGGGGGACACATCAAAGGAAAAACAAAATTGTTATTTTTATTTAATTTGTAGCATTTTCATATTTATCTACCTTTTAAACCTTCTCTGGACTTCCACAAATAATTCAAGACCAATATTAGCCAAATCGGTCCAGGCGCTCTCGAGTTTTAGCCAGACTAACAAACAGCAATTCATTTTTATATA